CTCTCTCTCTCTCTCTCTCTCTCTCTCTCTCTCTCTCTCTCTCTCTCTCTCTCTCTCTCTCTCTCTCTCTCTCTCTCGCGCGCGCGCGCCGTTGTCTTCTTGCAGGTACGTGCGGCGTCCTTCTTCTTCCGCTGGTCAGCTGTGGCGGACTTCTCCTGAACGGCGATGGCGCGTGGAATAGCGGGTACCAGCTCCGATACCAATGCAAACAGACTCGTTATCTTTCACACTTCTCATGCATGTAAACAGGTTGCGCAGCAAACTGGCGACAAACGCCCACTCAAAACTCAGAGGTATAGTAACCAAGAACGCAGCTCAGATACAAGTTCACTTCAAATGGCTATGGCGGCAAAGTGCCTGTACAACTCTCTGTTCACGCACACAGGATCACCCTGGATATCCCACACGCGTCACACTGGACACACACGCACACACCTCTATCAGCTATGGTGGCTATGGCCGCTACTACTCCTATCGCTATGGCTAAGCTCTCCTTCTTGCCCACTTCGTCTTCGGGCTCATTGCAGACCACCTCGCACAAGTCACTGTGGCAGCGCTTCCGCATGGCTTACGCAGGAATGAATGAATGGCTGGGCACTGCCTCTTGATTTATACTTCTGTATCTCGTTGGTCTGCCCTTTTCCCATGCCCGCGGTGCATACAGTCCCATGCAGTACTTGCTTGACTGGACAAGGACTGACTGGGACTGGGACTGCTGACTCAGCACGGGTGAACTCCACCACTTACCCACTTGCCTCAGCCTAAACGTGAGCAGCTTCGAAAGGCCAGTACCAGGACCTTCCGGAAGTTTCAGTCCTGGCCTTTCGGATACTGTAGCAGCTACGACCTTGACCTTTCAGGACTGTAGCAGCTACGACCTTGACCTTTCAGGACTGTAGCAGCTACGACCTTGACCTTTCAGAGGTCCTACAGCTACGACTTCTAGAACTCCCTAAGACCACTATGCGACAGGTCTACAGATCGAACTACAGACCCTACGACAGTCTACCAACTGTGGGAACAGGCACAGGTCGTGGGTTCAACTCCTGGGGTCGACATAGGTAATGTACACAGGTAAGGTAAAGTCTAGGGATCGAGCCCTGGGATCTGCATTCGCTACTGCGAACAGGTGAATACCGTTTCACAGTGTGGGGGGGTGGGGGGGGGGGGGGGAGACTGATCTTCCTCAATCTTACGACACAGGAGTTTTTATTTGAGCTCTTCACCTGCTCATCAACCATTACAAACCAGCCCAGAGAATATTTTTCAAATGTTTTTTTTTTTTTTTTTTAATGATAAGAACGTATCCGTGTACGATCGTGCCACGAGAGCAGGCAGAGACAGGCAAGAGAGGCAGACTTCAGTCTGATCACCTCTATAGTCAAAGAGGCAAAGGGCCTGGCTTGGGAAATGGCGAGCGTATCTTGACAGAGAAGGTGGCAAGATACACTCCCAATTTTATTTTATTTTTTGTGCAATTGGCGACCCGCCTGGAAGGCTGCCCAGCCGCCCGGCCGGGGGTGTCACCCTGTCAAGTCCCAGGCTGCCTCGGCGCCCAGGTTCCATCGGGCATTCTCACACCCGGTAGGCAGCCTGGTGGCCCCACCTGCTGCCACTTGCCTTCAAAACACCGATCATGACGATGATCATCATGATGACAAAAGGATGAAAATGATGATGATGATCATCAGCAGCAGCAGCAGCAGCATTCCTCCAATGATGATGACAATGATGATCACGAGGACAGAATGATGATGATGGTGATGATGATGATGATGATGATGATGATGATGATGATGATTCCTCCATTATGCCGTCCGGCTGGAGCTGGGGTGAAATGATGAAATGATGAAATATCGAATCTATGAAATAACGAAATAATGAAATAATGAAATAATGAAATGATGATGATCATCATCATGATCATGATGATGATGATTCCTCCATCGCCCACCCATCCTCTGCCCCAACCCCTCACCCCACCCCTTCCCTACCAAATTTTGCTAACCACTCAAAAAACATAAACGAGCGCGGATTTGGGCAGACCTGGGTGGGCGCAGAGATGGCCCACCACCTCAAGAAAAAAGTAAAAAAGGGCGGGAATTTTTTGTGTGCCCAGAGTTCCCTGGCCGGACGGATGGAGACAAGCCACCAGCACGTTGCCAGGCCAGCCAGGCGCCCCTGGTACCTAGTAAAAGTGTTCTTTCATGCGTTTACATGTTTGGTTTTAAAAACATAATAAATATAAATACCAATGAACTAATAACAGGGGGATTGGACCATAAAGAGGACCAAGTTCGAACCCAAAAAAAAAAAGAACATCCTTTTTTTTGTTTTAACATTTAAAAAAATAAGAATAAAACTCTCCTTGCACAACCCACTAATACAAAAAGGTTATTGATTATATCAAAAAATAATAAATATTAATATTAATTAAAAATGATATCAATAATATTAAATAGCACAATGTAGGTTACGAATATCGGAGCATGCCAAAGCAGAGGCCTCAGAAGTCTGGCTAGCGCCCTCCTTAGTCCTATTCAACGAGCGTAATCATATCATAGTAATAGATCAACAATTACATTTTTATAACTCTTCATAAATTAACTAATAGAAAGTTCCAAGAAGGGCAGACCGGATAAAAGAGGACGTCATCACTCTTTTTGCTTCCGCCGGGCCCCCGCCCCCCCCGCATCGAATCCCGTACCATTGTGATGATGCCATCTAGCCAGGGCCCCTTCAGCAAAGGCTTGAACCTGGCACGTGTAGTCGCGAGCACGTCCATACTCGATTTCCAAATCTAAATGATGACGGCAACAACAACGAGCTCGACAGGATGCGCCGAGCAAGTGAACAAATGACCCCAGCTTATTCATGCGCGTGCCTTGATTAGCAGACCGCTGGGAGATTAAGCAATGACATCATCAACAACAACAACAACACGATAAGGATTGAAAAGAAATGATCATCATGATTAAAAAGACGATCATTGAAGAAATGATCATGATTGGAAAGACAACGCTCGCATTCACTATCCTGCCATGAACACACAAAAACAAGAAAAGATATAATACTGTAATCAATAAAAAAGTGCAGAGTATTAGAGACCAACAATACATATGATTAAAAAGACAGCAATGATTGAAGCCATGATCATACGATTGGAAAGACACAACGCCGTCTCCCCATACACAACTCCCCAACTACTCAGTATTTATAATCTCGTGTATCTGCTGGAACTCAAACGCACATGCAACCAACCGACAACAATGCAATGACACCGATCAGCAACTTCCATAGATGACCTTACCATCTTCACCCTAATACCATGTACGGTCATTACAGCTGTATTTCGGGCAAGTTTGAGTCTAGATACAGCAGCTTCACCCAAATAGAACGTACGGTCATTTGCAATCAGACTCGACTTCACACTTCGTCAAGCATGCAAACAGCAATTCAGCAAACTGGCGACATGCGCCCACACAGTAATCAAAGATATTGTAACCAGATAAGAGTTCTCTTCCAACTGGCTATGGCGTCTGAGCGCCCACACAACTCACTGTTCGCACTCTGGATCACCCTGGATGTCCCACACGCAACACTGTACATACACGCGACACACACACACACGCTACTATAGCTATGGCAGCTATGGCTGCCACTACCCTATCGCTACACTACACTTCTCTGCCCACTTCGTCTTCGGGCGTACTGCAGACCTCCTCGCACAAGCTGCTGAGGCAGCGCTTCCGCATGGCATCCGCAGGAATGAATGAATGGCTGGACGCAGCCTCTTGATTTATACTTCTGTGCTGCGTTGGTCTGCCCTGTATCCCTTGGCCCATGATGTGCACACAGTCCCAGACGGTACTTGCTGGACAGGACCGGACTGGGCTACCTGGGACTGTTGACTCAGCAAGGTGGTCTACCACCACTTGACCACTTGCCTCTGTCGTATGCAGGCTAACTCCGAAAGGCCACTTCTAGAAGTCTCTAACTTGGCCTTTCGGTACTGTAGCAGCTACGACTTTGCCCTTTCAG